TAGTAATTATTGCAATAATGTCAACTAATAAGAACTCTTGTTAGTCAACTAAGGACTATTGAGCTGGAAACACAAATGATTCCACTGTTCCCTTCAATAGTTTTCAGTTACTTCCACTCACGGGTAGATGTGCATAAGAGACAGCTTTTTATAATAAATTTTTTAATTTATTTAATTCCATAAAAAAGTAATATCTCCCTCCCTCTCCTTCCTCCTTTTTAATATATTTTAAAAAAATTAATATCAATTGTTTACTTTTCTTCACTTCTCCTCTTTTTCCATATTATTAATTTTTATCAAACATATCCTTAGCGTACAAATGTTTAAAAGAAAGAGGGAAAATCATGATCACCTATCATTAAAAATGTCCAATAATCATATGAAACATTTAAAGATATGGCTTGAGTTTAATTTTATTAAATTTATTATATAATTATTATTAGATGTTATAATATTTTTTAATAAAAAAACTTACCGAGTTTTCCTTTTTCTCATATTTGAATTTACTATCAAAATGTTAAAATTTTATACTCAACAGCTTAAAAAATATTGGATTGCAGGTAGATTGGGGTAGGACATTGAGTCTGGCATTTCAGAGCATCGGAGTGGTGTATGGAGACGTCGGAACATCTCCCCTCTACGTGTTTTCTAGCACTTTTCCTAACGGAATCAACGATAATGAATACATTCTTGGCGCTCTCTCCCTCATCATCTACACCATCATCCTCTCGCCCTTCCTAAAGTATGCACTTATCGTCCTGAGAGCCAACGACAATGGGGAAGGTAATGAATCTCATATTCCTTTCTTGTTAAAAAATTGGCCCTTTTTTTTTTAATCTTTGTTATTTGGATTTTCAATAGAATTAAGGTTCTGAAGTTAATGTTTCCAACCTCTTGTGATCTGATGATAAATTAATTGATCCCACCAATTGTTCGATGAAATTCATTTTTGGAGGCAAACAATGTAATTGCAGGAGGAACGTTCGCCCTGTATTCCTTGTTGAGCAGGTATGTGAATATCAGCTTGATTCCGAATGAACAACCAGAGGATACGGAGGTCTCCAACTACGGATTGCCATCAAATCAGTTGAGACGGGCTTCCATTATAAAAAAGCTGCTCGAGAACAGCATCATTATTCAAGTTTTGCTTTTCCTCGTCACCATTCTCGGGACTTCTATGGTGATTGGAGATGGGATTATTACCCCAAGCATGTCAGGTAATTTCTGTTCTGCTATTTGTATGTCAAACTGGAAAGTTGAACCATAAATTAGACCCTATAATCTTTTATATTGTCAAAAGAAAAGTTTCTCTTTTGTTTATTTTTAATTTAACCTTTTAAATTAAAAATTATGAAACAGGTAATTAAGAGGTGCATCCAAATTGAAAAGTAGGACTTAATTATGGAAACCCTGTCAATTAGCTGGTTTTTATGGGTCAAATTGTAAGTTAGCTAGCTCGGTTCAGGGGTTCTTCCCCCATTAAAATTCAAAAGGTTAAATCTCTTTTTTATTCACTCAACATTTTTTTAGTACATCTCATGACTGGACCTACAAAAACAAGCAATAGCACTTCCCTTCCCAAAGCATTCCTCACACCTGTCTTCAAGTTTGATACTGAGACAACTAACTTAGATTCTCAAGCACTTATCTGTTGATACACCTGTTGTACCTTATTCTCTTGACATTAGCAATTCTATTTTTCCAGTTCTATCTGCAGTGGGTGGCATCTCAATCAGCATAGGTACGTACCTTTTCTTTTTTAATATGGTTTTCTCAATATCTATTTATATTTTGGAAAAAGAGTTTCTTGGTACCAAAGAAGTGTCAATCTAAATAGAATTTTAGTTTCTAAACATTCTTTTTAATTAGGTCCTTGACACCAAGCATACCAATTCATGCGTCCCCATCAAGTAAAAATAATCAATCATAATTTATGTCACCTGAATTTGTTGTTGCGAGGGACCTAATTGAAAAAAAGTCAAGGTTAAGAACCAAAATTCTATCCAAACTAACACTTTTTTCTGTCATCCGTACTGAGAAACATTTTTTTCTTATATCTTTTGGCCATAACCAGCATATATTTATCTAATATCGTTGATTTGCAGATGGTCAGGTTGGAATTTCAGTAGCAATTCTGCTCGTCCTTTTTCTTTGTCAGCGATTTGGCACTGATAAAGTTGGATTTTCATTTGCACCCATTGTCTCTGTTTGGTTTGCCTTTATATCTGGTATTGGTTTGTATAACCTATTCAAATATGAGGTTGGCGTGTTACGTGCTTTTAATCCATATTACATAGTCAAATACTTCCAGAGAAATGGCAAGACAGGATGGATTTCTCTTGGTGGAGTGGTCCTTTGTATTACAGGTTGGTCAGTAACCATAAAATTAAATGGTCTATTTAGCGTTCTACCCATTTTGCTCTAGTTATACTAGTGATTGATGTTATTTTTGGGTCTCAACTTGAAAGCTTTAATTTTTTTTATTGAGACAACCAAAATGAAAATAACAAATGGATTTTTGGCATCATTGGCATATTACCGATTGGTATTATTTTTGTGCTCAAGAACATGATAACCCAAGCTTTTGGATAGAACATTTCTTGACTGGTTATTTCGAAACAGGAACGGAGGCCATGTTTGCTGATCTAGGTCACTTCAATGTCCGAGCAATTCAAGTAAGTAGTCAGGAAATATATTCCTTTGTCATTTTTTTTTTCTATTTATTGGTTGTGTTCTCATAATCAAAAGTATGTCTTGGACCAAAAAGCTTAGGCGATTATGTGAGGACTCAAACTTTGGTGGACTTAATTTTTTCATTGTGTCAAAATTCAATGGATCAACTTAATTTCCTTTTTTCTTATGAAGATAGCCAATTTTCATGTTGACCAATTTGATTGCAAATTGACATGGAATTGTAGCTCAGCTTCTCCGGAGTTGTCTTGCCTTCAATAGTAATTGCATATATAGGACAAGCTGCCTATCTCACCAAAAACCCTGGCGATGTTGGTAGTGCATTTTACAAATCAATTCCAGGTAATTAAGATTATAACGAAACTTGTAGTAGGTTATTTGATTCATTTATTCAACAAATATTTTCTAATAAATATCTTCTAAGAGATCAATCATATATGCAGGTCCACTGTACTGGCCACAATTTATAGTAGCTAATTTGGCTGCTGTCATTGCCAGCCAAGCTATGATATCTGGAACATTTTCAATCATATCTCAGTCCCTAAGTCTTGGGTGTTTCCCAAAAGTGAAGGTAATCCATACCTCTGCTAAGTATGAAGGGCAGGTTTATATACCTGAGGTCAACTACATGCTTATGATTGCCTGCATTATAGTCACTGCTATCTTCAAAACTACAGTTAAGATTGGAAATGCATATGGTAAGCAGAACATTTTGGAGCACTATTTAAAATCCCTTTTGAGAAAGAACGAATAATCACTTATCATTCCCCTGACTACAGGAATTGCTGTTGTTGCCGTTATGTTTATAACAACGTGCATGGTCACTCTCATAATGCTGGTTATAAGGACGATAAGCATATGGTGGATTGCCCTCTTCTTTCTTATTTTTGGGACAATCGAAGCTATCTATTTCTCCTCTGTCTTGTATAAGTTTGTACAAGGTGGCTACCTTCCGCTTGCCTTTGGCTTTGTTTTAATGTCGATTATGGCAATATGGTATTATGTACACCAGAAAAGATACTTGTTTGAACTCCAGCACAAGGTCTCAGGTGAATTCTTTAGACAATTGGCTCAAAATCCTGCAGTAAACAGGGTGCCAGGAATTGGGCTTTTCTACTCTGAGCTTGTGCAGGGGATTCCTCCAATTTTTCCTCATTTCATGACCCAAATCCCCTCCATTCATTCAGTTCTAGTGTTTGTTTCAATCAAGAAAATTCCTGTTACAAAAGTTGCATTGGAGGAGAGGTTTTTGTTCAAACAGGTGGAGCTAAGAGCATACAAGATGTTCCGCTGTGTGGTGAGGTATGGCTATATGGATGTGATGGGGGGACCTGAGGAGTTTGAGCGGCAGTTAGTCGAACACTTGAAGGAATTCATCCGCCTTTCTGATCAAGGTGTAGCGGTTGAACCAGAAAATCCCCAGTACTCCACTTTCCCTGCCATCCAAGGAGTTGAAGAGGATATGCAATTTGTGCAGAAGGCAAAGGAAGAAGGAGTGGTCTATCTTTTGGGAGAAGCTGAGGTTGTAGCTAGGGAAAATTCTACAGTGTTCAAGAAGATGGTTGTGAACAATCTATACAGTTTTCTCAGGAGAAACTTCAGGCAAGGAGAAACAGTATTGGCAATCCCACACGCCAGGGTTCTAAGGGTGGGAATGATATGTGAAATTTGAGAAGACCATGCACAGATACGTATAGACAACCATGTGAAAATTGTTGTTTAAATAAACATGTCAGTGACTGCCTATATAAAGGTCATCTCGTGTACTTGTGATTATACTTGTGATTATACTTAATATGGAAATCTTTATCTTATACTCCTTTTGTATGAAAATATCAGTTTTTTTTTTTTTTTGACATTTTCTTCAAATTAATGATTTGTGGAAGATTGTTTACTCCTTCCGTCTCAAATTTTGTATGCTTTAACTCTATTATTATTCATTCACTTTAATTAATTTTTTAATCAAAAAATTTCTTTGTCTTTTATTTATA